TTGGAACTATCATATTTTAGATTTTCTTTGTCTCTAAGCGCTACTTTACTCTGCTTGCGATTCAACGAATCTCGGTTTTCGTTCAAAGTTTGTCTACTGTAATTTTCATTTTATATGTATTTTTAAATGTTTCTAAAATGCAAGATGGCATTCTCACTGAAAATGTTTATGCTATAGCTTTCTAGTTGCTACTCATTTTATCAAGGTGATATCACTATGTGAAAATATTGCTGCATAGCATATTTTGCAGAACTTTCGCAGATTAGGAGAAATAGGATTATTTTTCTTTCTTCCTTTTAATCTGAAGACATTTCTTCTACAATCGCCTTCTTGTTGCTTCTGAAGTTGCTGCAGTCTGCTGCTTTATTCTCTTCTAGTTAACTTCGCCATGTCTTCCTAGCGTATAGTTCAAACTAAAGACAAAATATCAAAGACAGAAAAAAATTCTTAAGTGTCAAAGTGAATCAAAATCTCCGCCAGTAATCGAAGCTGGCAATAACTTCCTCCAGGTTGCACTAATGGTCATGTAATTTCATGCCAGGCTTTGTTAATGAAAATTAAACAGCAGAAATTATTGAAATGGTGTTTTCGGAAGCCCCTGAGTGTTAATTATGCCGTTCTCAAAACATCTTTGAAAATCATGTTGCTGGATTGAGATTTCATAACCGAAGACGACGTTTCTCAATCCAGGCGTTTTTAATTCAAATAATTTCAGTTCGTGAACCAATTTTTCCGTAATCTGAGGTTTTACTGTATACGAAATTGTTATCCTTTGCTACTTACAAGAATGCTTATTTTTAGAAAGATAGTAACTTTTTATTTATGAAAAACGCTTCAAAATCTTTTTAACAATGCTATTCTTCATATAAACAGTAGATTGCTAAACGTCATAAATCTGTATACATAGAACTGACTCTATGTTATCATTATCCTTCTTTTCAGCTCTTGAGTAACAGGAAAATGAAACAGCCATAACATTAATATATTTCCTCTTTTCGCCGGCTACCCAAAAGCAGTTTGTTTATTACGTTGTCACTCATTCTGCCAGAGTCTTCTTTTTCTTACGGCTGAAGACTATGATTGATTATTGCTTACGCATGATTTTCTACGCTTTTTATAACTCGCGTGGATTATATTTTATTTCTGCGGTGTCGTTGGTGTTGACCGAAGTTCATAACTCTTTCCAACGGAAAAGCTGCCCACCATTCAACCGCAACTTTTTATGCTTATTTGAAAGAACAATTAAGTTTAATTCAGTGCTTTATTTTCGGCTTATTGATGTGAAAAACTGTTTACATTTTAAATTGCTAAAGAAAAACGTGTGAATATGATTAATTCGAAATTTGGACTTTAGAGAAAATCCAATCGATTTTAAACCAGAAGGTGTTTTAAATTTTATGAAAACAGGACAACGCCAGGCGCCTCACAAATGCATTAAGAATTTATTAGCAGCAGCTTGTAAGTTCTCATACTGCTGGTTTAAATTAAAAATTACTTTATTCGAAACATTTCATGTTTCTAGTTCAAATATTTCAGCTTTCACATAATACCGAATCGACAGTAAAAGGGGGAGGAAGGACATGAAAAACTAAGGGATGCATGTGGTCCGGCGATTTTTAAGTGGACTGTAACACTCAATTAAACTAATTTTCAAACTACTTTGTAACATATCTTTATCTTTATTATACTAATTTTTGAGAGACGCTCAGGCTCCCACAATCACTCTCTGCTTCGCCATTGAAGCCAACTCCCAAGTAATTAACATTCTTTTTGTAAACAGTAACGATGGCAGCGCCATCTGGCTTCAGAGGGACTTAACACTCCCCCGGATTGAAATTACAAAATTTCAAGTAATTATACAAACATTCTTAACAAAGTTAATATACTTATAAACAACATAATATACTATTACTATAACTATTACTATAACTACAGCTATTACAATACTATAACAATACAATACATATGCAAAAATATCATTTCAGTTTTCTATCGGAAGAACGGCGATCTTTGTTATCGCTCTTTTTAATTCTCCTGATTTTGTTTTGATTTTAACCGTTCTTACTTTATTGTCAGATCCATGATAGACTTTAATAACCCGACCTAATATCCATTTGCAAATTGGTAGATAATCCTCCTTGACGAGTACCATAGTACCAACAGAAATATTGTCCTTCTCTATCATCCACTTGTTTCTCTGCTGCAGAGTTCCTAAATAGTCATTTGACCATTTCTTCCAAATAATTTGAACTACTTTCGTTGTTCTCTGCCACCGGCTTAACCGATTTTCATTTACGTCTATTATCATTGGCTCCGGAATCGTCTGTATTGATCTCCCTATTAAAAATTGACCTGGGGTCAAAACGTCATAACAATCAAAATCATTGGAAATAGGTGTAAGAGGTCTCGAATTTAGTATTCCCTCTACCTGCACAATTATAGTTTCAAACTCCTCATATGTAAAACGCAAATCTCCTATCGTTCTCTTTAAATGATACTTTACGGACTTTACACCGGCTTCCCATAGCCCTCCGAAATGAGGGGACTTGTGAGGTATAAAGTTCCAGTCTATTCTTTCGGACGTGAATATGAGATTTTTCGGAAATATGAGGCCAAAGTTTTATCAGGAAATTAATTACAATTTCTTCAACAGAGAATTTGCTCCTACAAAATTAGGGGCATTATCAGTGAATATTTTCGCACATTTGCCACGTCTGGCCATGAAACGCTTAAGAGTGGCAATTAAAGCACTAGAAGTTAAATCTGACAAAGGCTCAAGATGAATAGCTCGTGTCACAAAATATATACATACACAAATGTAAATTTTTTTATTAGCACGTCCTTCTCTGATGCTTGTAAGTCACATAAAAGGGACCGCATAGATCCAAACCTGAAACACTAAATGGGGGTGATCTATTAACTCTCTCGTATGGCAAATTGCCCATAATCTGTGAAGACAAAATCGGTTTGCATTTAAAGCATGTCACACAAAGATGTACTGTTTTTCGCGCCAAATCTCTACCACCTAATGGCCAAAATTTTAAACGTACTGCATTCAATAATCCTTGGGGGCCAACATGCAATAATCTTCTGTGCACACTAGAAAAATAAATCTTACTTAGCTTAGAATTTTTTGGTAGGATTGCAGGATATTTCTGAGAAAATGGTAAAGAAGCTTTTTCAAGACGGCCACCAACGCGAATTATTCCTTTACGATCAACAAAGGGATGTAAATTTTTTAAGTTACCTGTTATGTCCTTTTTACAAAATAGAACCTTCTGCTCATGCTTAATAAGCATTTCCTCAGCTATTCTTACCTCCTCTAGTTGAAGAGGGCCTACCTTTCTTGATTCACCTTTCCTGCAATTACAATAAACCTAAAACCTAAAAAATATAAAGAAAGAACATTAATTATTCTATAATAATTGTTACTAATATTCAAGAGTTCGTCTAAAACGTTAGAGTTCATGTCAATCAACATAGTTCTCTCAGAAATGTCATTAATGTCACTAGAACTTTTGCTTTCTTGCACAAAGGACTCCCTTTCATTTGGTGTTAGGTTCTCAACCTCTGGAACTATTGGTTGTAAGCACTTGTAGGGAAGATGCGGCTCTGTAAAAAATTCTGCACAAGTCCACCACTTAGAATTGTTCACTAGAGAAGAGGCACTAACTCCACGCGTTAGAAGATCGGCTGGATTGTCTTTGGTTGAACAATAAAACCATGAATCTGGATTAGTCAACTTCTGAATCTCGTCGACGCGATTTTGAACGAAAGACTTCCATCTCCTGCTTGATCCTTTGATCCAATACAGTGTAACTTTAGAATCACTCCAAAAAAAGATATTAGATGAACCTTTACGATCTAGAACTTTTTTAACTTCCGTTCCCAATCTTGCAGCAATCAGTGCACCCAGCAATTCAAGTCGAGGCAAGAAAACTTTTTTGACAGGTGAAACTCTGCTCTTGGAAGCCAGCAAATTCACAGAAATTTTTTCTTGATTCTGTACCTTTACGTAAACTCTGCACCATACAATCTTTGACTTGCGTCAGAAAAAACATGGATCTCTATATTTTCATCACATGAATCCAAAGCAAATCTTGGAACACTAATGTTACTAAGTTCTGAAAGCTCGCTACACCACTGAGACCACTCGTCGTTCAAATCAGAAGGAAGCTCTTCATCCCATGGTAATTTACGTAACCATAGCTTTTGTAGTAAAAGTTTTATTCTAACAGTGAATGGTGTGATGAGTCCAAGAGGATCATATATTTTTCCAGCTGTTTGGAGGATGAAGCGTTTGGTACTTTTCTTTCTCCTCGAAATTTTCGTCAAACAAGAAGTCTCTATACTCAAACTATCTTCCTGAATGTTCCATTGAATTCCTAATACCTTCAGTATCTTTTCATTTGAGCTTAGGGGATGAATATCAAAATTTTCTTCTTCCCATTTTTTAGCTAAATGATAATCATTCGTCACCCATTTGCGTAGATTCATCCCAGCTCCACGCATAATTTCCTTTCGCTTCCCTTGAAGTTTTTAAGGCTTCTGATACATCATCTGCTCCTGTAACAAGATCATCAACATACATGCATGTATCAAGAATTTGAAAGGTATCGGGATACACATTTCTGTACTTTTGGATATGCAGCTTTATAGTTGCCGCTAACAAAAAAGGACTGGAATTAACACCAAAGAGCACACGCTTAAATCTATACACTTCTAGCTGATCGTCGGTATTCTGCAAAGGTGTATCAATATTCTTAACAAATAAAAATCTAACTGCATCTCGATCTTTTTCAGCTAACACGATCTGTAAAAATGCCTTTTCGATATCTCCTAAGATTGCAACTCTATTAAGTCTAAAATATATCAGCAAGTGAAATATATTTTGATTCAGATTAATACCTGGCCACAAACAATCATTCAGGGACAGACTACCTATTTCATGTGAGCTCGCATCAAATACAATACGCATTTTTGTTGTAATGCTTTCTTCTCTATAAACTGCCTGATGCGGCATATAAAAAACTGGCTTGTTTTACTGGTTTCGTAGAATCTAATACTCTTTCTATTATCCCTTGATTTAGGTACTCTTCTAAAGTTTCTCTATATTTCAGGTATAATGTATTATCATGCTGCATTTTTCTCATCAGGATTTTTATTCTTTTTTCTGCGACACCAAAATTGTCGCTTGAATGTTCCCAACGTTTCTTCCAAGGCAAACTAACAATATAACGACCATCTTTGAAACTAACAGTTTTGTTGAATATCTCTAATGCTTTATCTTCATCGTAAGAATTGGGATCATCTCTGATACCAATTGATTCCAAATCAAAAAACTTCTTCAACTGTGCTTCGACATTGTCATAAATTAACCCACAATGCATTAATTGTTTCTCATGTGGTAAATCTTCAATGCTGCTACCGCTTACCAAATACCCAAATGCTGAGTTTTGTAACACTAAATTTGTATTTGGTACATAAATTTGCCCGGATCTTATCAAATCGAAAAATATTTCAGATCCTAAAAGTAACTGAATTTTACCCCGGTTTGTGAAAGTCTGGATCAGCTAACTAACGTAACTCCTTGTGGAATCTCAATATTACAGACATCAATTTGTCTAGAAGGCATCAAATGAGTAATTTTCGGAATTACGAAAAAATCTAGTTTACGACTGTATGTGTTTTCCTCTATTTAAAATAACCGCACTTATTTTTGATTTCACCGTTGTTGAAATCCCAGATAAACATCCTACTGATACGTTTACATTTTCTCTTTGCAAATGAAGCTTCTCAGCTAATTCCGATGAACAAAGATGAATCCTACTTCCACTGTCAAGCAATGTTTATTTCTCCTTCATTTCCCTTAATATAAACAATCGCTGTCGATAGTAGGACTCTATTAACTGCATTAAAATTTTTATTTACATTAGCTGTCATAAAACACTCGCTATCCTTATTTATAAATGGCTTTGCATGAGCGTTCAGTTTCGCTACTTCCGTAGACGAACTGGCATCTGACTTTTGATCCGACAGAGAGGCGATTTCGCAACTCTCTCTATTTTGGGAAATCGAAACTTTTTCTCGCTCATAACACAGTAACGAATTGTGCTTTTTTCTGCATACCCTACAAGAGTAATTTGAAGGGCAATTTCTCACTCCATGATTTCCAAAACAGCAGAAACATAAGTTGTGTTTTTTAACATACTCGACTCTATCCTTTAAGCTGAATTTTTGAAATTTAGGGCATTTAAATAATTTATGTTCCACATTACACAGTTTACAAATTAAAGCACGTTTTTCAGTCACACATGAAACCATTGAAGAAACCTTTGATTGACTTACTGAAGCTTTTGATTTAGACATTACTGGAATTCTAGAAACGTTTAATGTCCTCGCGTGATCCTTTAGAAATTCTAATAACTCTGTAATGTTCGGTATTTTTTCTTTCTTTAGATTCCTTTCCCACCATAACTTAGTATTCTGATCAAGTTTCTGGCTAAGAATAAAGGCATAATAATAGAATAAGGATCTTACAACTTCACTTGTAACATCAATTAAATTTAGAATCGCAGAAGCTGACTCGTTTTGAATAACGGGAATACTCATAAATCTTTTAAGATGAGCATACACTTGTTCTCTAGGATTCGAGTATCTTTCTTCAAGAAGAGACCACGCTAACTTATAATTATTATCCGTTATAGCTATCGTTTGGATAATTCTAAAAGCATCTCCTTTCAGTGCTGATTTCAAATATTGCAATTTTACAGCATCTGATAAATTTGGGTTTTGATCAATACTCGCTTTAAAAATGTCCTTAAAGGAAAGCCAAGAATGCATTTCTCCTGAAAATGTCGGTAACGAAATCTTAGGTAAACGCACAACAGTATTTTCAGAAATTACTGCATTTTCTACTTTATTTTCTTTAACAACGTTCGACAATCTATTATTTATTTCAAATTCTATATCAATAATACTACTATTGATTTCATCTTGCTCACTGAAGATTTTTTCGATATTTTCTTCACTACTTAAATTGATAATAGAATCAAAAATAATATCAAATTCATTTTGCAGATTGTTAAATTTAGTTTTTAACAATTCTAAATCACTAACACTTAAATCTGGCTCACAAAGTTTCTTTTGCAACTTCGATAAGATAGTTTTTTGAGTTCTCTTTTTAGTGAGAACATCTTTCAGTTTCGTAGCCATTTTCGCTACACTTATCAATAACAAATTATCACACAAATTTAATTCAGAATTTACTAAATGCAACAGTTAATAATGAATAGAGTTTCAAGGGTTTTTTACTTACCCCTTTCTTTCAGCAACTGGCTATAATCCACAAACACAAATTCCATTGAAACAAAATGGCAAACTCACTGTTTTACACTAGATTATTTATTTAGCTGCTATCTCTGCGGCTCTACTGGACCACTCAAATGATCCGGCGATTTTTAAATGGACTGTAACTCTCAATTAAACTAATTTTCAAACTACTTTGTAACATATCTTTATCTTTATTATACTAATTTTTGAGAGACGCTCAGGCTCCCACAATCACTCTCTGCTTCGCCATTGAAGCCAACTCCCAAGTAATTAACATTCTTTTTGTAAACAGTAACGATGGCAGCGCCATCTGGCTTGCAGTAAAAGTGGGAGGAAGGACATGAAAAATTAAGGGATGCATGCGCTCCAGAAATATTCTCTGACGTGATATAAGAAGGGAGAACGCTCAATAAATTCTGAGCCTTATACATTTGGAAAAGATGATTGTCTAAAATTACGTTCTCAACTTTCTACGTACTTCTCTTTCACGCTTCTACTCGTGGTATACCAGTACAAAATTTTAAAAGAAAAAAAAATATTTCACAGTTTTCACACACTTCTAATGAGCATCATTCCAATCTTCATGCAATGAAATGTGAAACAGGCAAATCATGCTACAGTTTCTGGAATACAAAGAACAAAAACTCATCCAAAATATGTTTATTTGGGGAGAAGCATAAATTCTCGTTGCTAATCAACATTTCGAGAAATCTGGAATAGTGTTTCTTAACCGGATTTACTCATAGTAAGGCTTTCAGTGTTTTATCGCTTAGCGGTAAGGTTAGTAACTTGAATCGTTGGCATAATCTTTACATTTACAAAATTGTAGAACTTAAACAATTTTCTCACCAGTTTGTTTCTGATCATTTACGTACTCTCTGCAGTAAAAGATATATTAAAACTATGTAAATCAATTCTGATACAGATATTAATTTTTCTATTCAAATAACAAAAAAACAACGAAAACAAAACTATTTACTCATGTGTAGGTAGCAAAAGAATATAATACGAAGTAAGTGGAAAGGAAATAACAAACATTCAAAAAATAAATAACTGAATTTAATGTGATTGCTGTTCTTCTTTGTTGCTGACTAACGTATCAGTTCTGGGTGTCAGAAACCAGTTACAGCAACATGTAAAGCAGGCGCAAGGATAAGTCGTTTCTGATGTTTTGTTTTAATAACATTCATAACCGAAAATGTAATTTCACATAAATGAATTCAGGAAAAAGACAATAAAATCTTAATTGATTTTGCATAAAGATGGGAATATTACTTTCTAGTGTTTATCCAGAATTGATATATATTCATTGAATCGAACTGTGATCTTAATCCTGGATCTGAAGATATTTCAATAAGTTCTCCTTCTTCTGCAGTGGTAAGAATGGTAGTTTGGTTAACAATAAATGGATTTGTTATCCACTATTTCGATGCACGTGCATGGATAATATTGATTAATAAAGTCAAAGAAAGTTCATTGCTCCAAAATTACGCTTGTAAAGTTTTCATATCAATGAATTTATAAAATCGCAAAAAGAAGAAAATATTTCTCTTGTATGCACTGGTACTAAAGCTTTAAGTTTTTCTTGAAGGCATCAATCTTATTCCATAAGCTGAAAACGGTATTATTTTTGCCTTGGAAGCTTGGATTTAGTTCATTTATAAGTGAAAAATGTGTCTAACAGATAGGAAAGCTTATCTACCCATTCCTTATTCCAAAAATGATGAAGATCCCTTCTGATTTGAAAATAATTCTACCACTTTTCTTAAATCTTACAATTTATTAAGAACTTTTCCTCTGGACAACCAGCGTACTTCAGGTAACTGTAACATAAAATTCAGGACATGTAACATAAAATTGAAAATAATCTTGAACTAGGGGCGTTGTTTCTAAAGAAATTTACAACTTTAACCGATTACACAAGAACATCATTCAGTTGTGTGAATTTCTTTGGTGTTAAATGCTCACAATGTATAATACCAGTGAGTAAATACCAATTCTACTTATTTCATTCTTTTGGTAATAGCTGCATTCCTTCCATTTTCAGAAGGAGGGGCATCAGTACTCAAACCAATGCATATTTTTTAGTCAATACAGTTACTTTCATTGTAGCAGTTAATTGCCTTAAATATTTCAGAACTGGTTGTTTGAGATGGTAGTTAGATGTAACACAACAGTTCTCTGATATCATTAACTGCGTAGTCGCTATAACGAATATAATATAATAATATCGCGCAATTTGAAACGACAATTGACTCATCCATTTGAATAAACAATTTACAATATATTGTATCAGAGGACTTTCAGTGTCGGATGATAATTCTCAAATTCTACGTCGAGTAGTGTCATTGGAAAGAGGCAGATTCTCATTAGATTTGCAACTGATAGACCCAAGACGTCAGAACACACTTCTATCAAACAAGGTTTAATTAGTTCTTCAGCAACTGAGTATGGCTTCTTCGACTTGGCAGTACATAGAACAACTAAATATAATGCTGTGATTTAGTGACCGTAAAATGTTTTTGAAAAGCAATCTTTTGAACTTTCATCTCTAAATTGTTTCTTTGAAAAATGTCCACGGGCTTATTATCTAATTGTGGTGCTTAGATTGTAAATTCCGCCAAAGCTTGGAGGTTTTCGTACATTCATTAGGAAAAACATCTCTACAAATAACACATTGAGGTCTTGAACGATTTTCTAGTGATTCTGACCGGATAAAACAATATTTTAAAACAGTCTGTAATATAATGCCGAATAAATCCTTTTTTCTTTTTTTGGCGGACTGTGGCATAATATCAGCTTCAACTGTATTGAACGATGTACTTACCTTTTGCGAATCTCTCCTTTGCACAAAATTTAATAACGTCACATATAGTTGCCTTCTTGTTCATTCTGGTTTTTCACTTTAGGGCATTAATCTAAAAGTTATAGACATGGTTATGGAAAATAATTAATTGCAAATCGTATTTCAAACCTTACAATGGAAAGACAGTTCTTGAACTACGCAGAAAACAGTAACAATCCTCTACCTGGTAGGTGGCGTTTCAGTATGGTACAT